ACGAAGGCTAGACCGTCCCATTTCACAAGCCTCTCACTTCTCGTACTTATAGTACGCACCGTACGTAGTACGCGTAGTGCGCGTACTTCAAGCGTGCAGATCCTGAATTGGGACACAGCCTCTATAAATACACAGAAGGTAATGAGGGAACGACACACCAGAGGGGAACACAGCTGAACCTAATTAAACACGACGGGACACAGACCTTCAAAGTAAAACAGGAAACTCAAACTGTTTAAAAACACAAACTCAGGGACGCAAAGTCCACAAGGGGGACTCTTTGACGCTGGACCATTACACCTTTGTCATTATCACTTCCTCCAGCAGTCGTATTCTAAGTTAATTTACTCTGTTTATATTCTGGATGTATCCAAGGGTCTTGGTTTTATGTAATGTGTAATTGTTACCTCAGCTGTATGTCCGTGTCTGCAGTGTTGGGAAGGTTACTTTAAAATGTGTTCCACTACAGATTACAGAATATATGCCCAAAAATGTATTTTGTAACGTATTACTTTATATATGATCATGCTTTTTACGAGCACATGAACGTACTATTGCTGTGTGATTTATTACTATTACTGAAGGCTACTGGCCGTACCGATACCAACTAGGTTTTTCGTGTTTTGTTTGGGTTTCCACCAGCGTGGAATTACCAAAAATAGAGAGGGCAGAGCCGAACATATGAATATTACCATGGTAACTGTAACGGTTTCAGTTACTCATGTATTCCGTCTGTCTGTTGTCGCTGTGTGCTATCTTCATGTCTTTGTGTCATGTTTGTGTTTCGTGTTCTCCTCTTCCTTGTAACTTGTGCGTAGTTCTGTTCCTTTGTCTTATCATCTGTAACGATCCCCAGCTGTGAACCCATACACTCTACACTCTGTTTGTCCTCTTAGAAGATTTTTATTGATTTCCTGGACTTCGTGTGCAGCTACACGAGATCTCGTTAAAGGCTGAATGAAAAGAATTGTTTCTCTCGTGCTCTCTACGAGGCAGAAGAGATTAAAGCAGAGACTTTGGTTTCTCCAAAGACTTTAAAGACTGTGTTTTTGTTCCTGAGATAACATTTTTGGAGAATGAGCTGAACAATAATAAAAGTAACAGAGTGCTTTGTCTCGCAGACCACAAATCAAACATTGTCCGGTGATTTAGAGATGGCTCATGTTAAAGTGCTTTCTGACTGCAGCTGTGGCCCCCTGGGGAGTCCTGAGTCCGAACAGCTGCACTCTGCCTTCCACGCTGTCACCTCAACCTGAGTCAGAGGTTCCCTTCCATGTCTTTTTGATCTGTATTCTTTTGCAGTAATTTTATATTCAGCAATAAAGTTGTTTTGTTGTTGTTTTTTCACAGCCACGTGTTTTCTTTACAAGCATCACAGCTTTTTCAGTAACATTTAATGTTGCACTTACTCTTAAACTCGGGGTACATTGGTACCACATTACTCATCAGTAAAGCATCATACTGCTGGTCCACCGTTGTATTAAGATCTGCAAAAACACAAAAGGAAATAAGGACTTTTAGAGGGTAACAGAAGGTGAGAGGCAGACATCAGACATAGTTCAGACAGTCTTCAATAGGAATCCCTGGAGAAATTCTGTCACAGTAATGATGATGTTGTCCTACCCCTGCATGTAAAACAACGTGAGGTTCACTAGTTTCACACAACTACCAAATTTCAGAAGATGGGTAAGTGTTCTTAATATTTAATTGCCTTTCTGTAATAACATGAATTATCATGTTTACCAAACAGTGAAATCGTGATCATCTTAAGCTTTCCTGTGTACATTAGAAGTAGAATATGACATTTTGGGGAGAAAACAATGTTTTTAAAGTGATTTTAACAGATTTGAGTGGCAAACCTACACATGCAGGCACTACCCACTCTCACTCACAGCTCAGTAGAATAAAGGAGGCTTACAGCTGGAACCAGGCTGCATTTTGGTATTTTGCTGAATTGCACTTCACTATGTTGTTGCAAAGCAGCCACATCTGCTAATGCACGTTTATGGAGGCGTTATTATTTTTCATTGATTTTCTGACTTCTTTTGCTCCTTCTGAGTTTGCAAATATTCTTTGTTCAAAGGAAGTTTCAAACTAAATCACTAAATCTGACCGAAAAAAACAAAAAACAGTTTACCCTGCAAATGTTTCTATGATTCACCCAATGCATTTTCTCTGCCAGCATTTATTGATATTTTACAGCAGTGGTTTTTCAAACTGTGGTACGTGTACCACTGGTGGTGCG